TAGATTTTGGATTTCCTGTGTGAACATACAAGGCCACCCAGGTGGAGCCTCAAATTGGAACCCAAGTTTAGGAGCCATTTTTGGGCCCAGTTGCGGCGTTTTTTTCACACACGGGAAGCCAGATCTGGCTTTCACAGCTCCTCGTTGCGAGTAAAACAAATAAGCCTTTCAGTCGGTTCCAGTCTAAGTCTTGTGTCAGTCTTCCCCCAAAATTAGAACAGCAGGCAGCAAGGCGGCAAAGTGTGAACTTGTTTGGAACCGGCACTTTCTCTTCGATTTTGCTGCCCCTCATCTTGGGTTTCAGATTCTCCAGGTTTTGGTGCAAGGCCTGAAGGCAGAAGAGGAGAAAAGAAGGGTGCAGAGTCAACATCGGTGGACACCGCTTGGAAAAGTTCAATGCTTTGAAACAAGTGTTTTGAAAAGCCTCTGACAGTGCCGTTTGGACAGCTGCAGGACGAGACGAGTTCAACCGTGGTGTTGATTCGTTAAGGTTGCGCGCGACGCCCAAGCCAAACCACTTGAAAATTGCAAAGTGTATTACCAGAATGTGAATAAGTGCGAGCGAAGCGAGCGAAACACCAGGTAAATTCAACAAATTTAACTGATCAAGTGTTGATTTTGAGGGTTTTTTCAACGTTTTCGGAGACTTCAGAAATTTTGAAAATTCGTTGAATGGTGCTGAATCCAGGGAAGAATAAGGGCTGGGCGGCTGGGCTAAAAGTCGGGCCCTTCTCCTCTTTGAAGAGGGCTGCGTGTCTCTTACGCTGATGTCTTCGCAGAGCGCCCATTCCTGAAATCTGCATCCCACAGTGCTGGCAGGTTGTGATTGCATTGGGTTCAAATGTGTCGCTTGGCTCCATAGTATCCAATCTTAGATAGACCTGATGTGCTCTGTGCATGATTCCGCGCCTCAAGAGTTCCTCATCGCTTGGACGATCCATCTGTCTTTGTATGAAGCGCTGAAGTCTGTCTCGAAGAAAGTCTTGCGCAAACCTAACCTGGTGAGAACAGAGGCATTGGACTCTCCAGTGTGTTGTGAGGAGCTATCAACCACAAACCTGACCTGATAGCTATAATGGGGGTACAGTCTTTCCAGACCATTGGGAGTGACTCCTGTGATGTGAAGGCAGTAGGTGGCTGAGGCCCACGCTGTTGCTTGGTAGACTTGGAGCCGTTTGGCCTGGGTGAAGATTCGACTGTTTCTGACCATGTGCGCAACATCCTTCGTGGCGGTTTTGCTGCATTTGAGGCGATGTTCGAGAGTTTTGTCTTCATAGCTGTGATCGGAAAGTACAATGCCAAGGTCAGGGGTTGATCGCTGAACGGGTATCCTTCTACCTGAGGGAAGAACCAAAGGATTTGGGCAGCAGTTTAAAATGCGTAACACTTTGACCTTATGTGGAATGACTCCAAGGCTCCAGCAACGAAGCTTGCAGTGTTGGAGTCCTTGCACGTTATGAAGGAAATCAGTCAGCGTCGGCTCCAGCATGTCGCTTCGACCCTGTTCCAAAATTCTGCATACCCCGCGGGCTGGGGTTGAGGGTTAAGGGTTCAACTCAGACCTCGGGTCGGACACCAGGCGGGGGGGGGCAGCCCCAACCCAGGTTCAGGTTCGGGTTAACCCGGACCCTAACGTGGCCTTCCCTTACCCTCGCTTCTATACGGGGAGAAGAGTGGGCTGGCAAAAACAACAGGCCCCCCCGCCATGACAGGGGTGGAATTTAAACTCATTCTCCTCAAGAAACAAAAAAAACAGAAACGAGGGGGATGGAATTTGGACCAATTCTTTACTTCTCCAATGATTTTCGAAAGATGAACACAAGAAACAAAAACGACGAGGGGTGGATTTTAGATGAATTCTCTATGATTTTCGAAGAACACAAGAAAACAAAAAAACGATGAACGACGGATACTTCTCTCTACTCAGCTTCTCTGATTCCGAATAATGAGCAAAGAAAATCAAGAAACGAGGGGGTGGAATTGGATGAATTCTCTGCTCCTCTGATTTCGAAATAACTTCTCTCATTCTCTCTTTCGAAAAAAACATACAAGAAACAAAAATTAAGAAACGAGAGGGGTACGTCTACTTCTCGACTTCTTCTCGGCTTTTCGAACAATGAACACAAGAAGCAAACCAAGGAGTGGAATTAGATAATTCCCTGCTCCTCTGATTTTTCGAAGAACACAAGAAACAAAAAACGATGAACGACAGAAACTTACTGTCTCCACTTCTCTGATTCTTGAATAATGAGCACAAAGAAATCGAGGGGTGGATTTAAATTCTCCGCTCATTCTCTGTTTTTCGCAAATGCAAGAAACAAAAACCAGAAAACGACGAGGGATTCAGACTGCGTTTCTCGATGTCTTCTTGGCTTTCGAACAATAAACACAAGAAGAAACGGGGGGCCTTTTAGATTAATTCTTTATCCCTGGTGGTCTGCTGACTGGTTTTGAAAGTGACTGCTAGTGTTGCTTCTTGTCATCCTAAAACCTGAAACGGCAAGGCGCTCGAGATCAAAAAAATCGTGCCGTGTCGATTTTGCAGTTGTGACAGTTTTGTGGCACGCTGGCTGAATTTTGAAAGAGTACAAGCTGCTGTGTTGCTTCCCGTCATCCTAGACTTGAAAGAAGAGAGCCCCAGGATCGACAGGACACTGTCCCAATGAACCAATCCCACAGCCTTCGTTTCTTGTTTTGTGTCTTGTGTTCATCAGAAGATCTGAGGAGTAAAGCGGGGGTGAAGGGGGGCCTTCGCGCGAAGTCTGCACACAGCGCGCGAAAGTCCGCGAAGCGCGCGAGGCCCTGAAAGTGCGAAGTCGCGAAGGCGCGCAGTCCGCGAAGTGCGAAGCCCCGCTCAGCGCGCTGAAGAAGCGCGAAGTCCGTGAAGCCCGTGAAGCCCGCAAAGCGCGCGAAGCGCGTGAAGCGTGTGAAGCGCGTGCGCGCGTCGGCCCCAGGCGGACCATAGTCAAAAACTTTTCAAACTTTTTCAAACTTTTTCAACTTTTGAAACTATTAAAACAATTAAAACTACTAAAACCATGAAAGGATCCTTCGTAATAGTTTGAATTGTTTGGGAGGCTTTTTAAGGCTCAAACTATTATTGCTATTAAAACAAAAAAGAGGCTTCATTTTATTGTTTCATAGTTTTAATAGTTGTAACAGTCTTAATAGTTGTAAAAGTTTTGAAAGTTCAGGAATCTCCTGTCCAGGCCTAGCCTCTTTCACAGTTCAAACTGTTAAAACTAAAACTAGTAAAACGGCTTCTTCTTAATAGTTTTCATAGTTTCAATAGTTTTAATAGTTTTAATCCTTTTAATTGTTTTAATAGTTGCAATAATTCTAATAGTTTTCATAGTTTTAATATTGTTAATAGTTTTAATCGTTTTTTTGGAGGTTTTTGAAAAGTTCAAACTATTAAACCTATTAAAACTTTAAAAAGGATAAGGCCTGGCCAGCAGATTCCTGAAAATTCAAAACTTTAGAACCTTTAAAACTATTAAAACGAATAAACTATTGAAACCATTAAAACCATTACAAGGAATCCTTTTAAATAGTTTTAATATTTTGGGAGGTTTTCTAAGAGTTGAAACTGATATAACTATTAATACTATTAAAAAAGGCTTCTTTTTCAGGCTTCTTTCTAATAGTTTTCATAGTTTTAATAGTTTTAATCGATTTAAAAGTTTTAAAAGTTTTGAAAGTTCAGGAATCTCCTGGCCAGGCCTTCTCCTTTTTAATAGTTTTTATAGTGTGGGAGGCTTTTTAAAATTCAAACGACTAAAACTATTAAAGCTAGTAAAACTATTAACAAAGGCTTCTTTTTCATCGTTTTAGTATGTTAATAGTTTGGGAGGCTTTCAAAAGTTCAAACTTTCAACACTATCAACACTTTCAAAAGGAGAAGGCCTGGCCAGGAGATTCTTGAGCTTTAAAAACTTAACAATCATTCAAGCTATTACAACTATTAAAACTATTAACGCCATTAAAACCATTACAAGGAATCCTTTTTCCCCACCCTCGGTGTGGGGTTGTTAGATTTTAAACTACTCTTCTCCTCGCCCGGTCTACTCCTCGCTCATCCTTGGACTGCCCAACCCCAAATGTCCCGGAGTGCCCGAATTTGGAGTGTGCCTGGAGTGCCCAGCCCAGGAGTGCCCAACCCCAGAGTCTCCCCAGAGTGCCCAGCCCCAGAGTCTCCTAAAATGCCCAACCCCAATCGGGCTGGAGTGCCCAGCCCCAGAGTGTCCCCAGCCCCAGAATCTCCCTGGACTGCCCAACCCCAGGTCTCCTGGAGCCCAACCCCAGAGTGTCCGTCTCCCTACCCCAGAGTCTCGTGCCCAACCCCAGAGTGTCCCCGGAGTGCCCAGCCCAGAGTGTCAACCCTAGAGAATCTCTACCAAGAGAGGGTGGGGATGTTCGAAGTAAAATAATTCATAGTTTTAATAGTTTGGGGGGCTGTTTACAAGTTCAGAGCAACGGCTGCTTCAGCGTTCAACGACTTGATGAGCAGGTCTGCCGTATTGATCTTGGTGCCGCTTTGAGGAGCTCGAACTGTTTGTTCGCTAGCTTCCCTTGGATCCATAGGCAGCGGGTCTGCACGTGTCTCGACTTGCCCCCGCATCTTCACATCCAGTCCCCATCCACGGAGCAGCTCGTGCGTCGCGATTCCGCTGGCCACGTCCTTGACTAGTGAATAATGCTCGTCCTCACCCAGATCTCCACCGAAGATAACGACGCAGTATTTTGGAGGTTGCTTGAATGTCGTACCTCATGACGCCCGTAGTAGCATACAGCATACCAGTCCTGTTTTGTGCTCTTAAGAACAACACAAGCCTGGGATGGCGAGGCACCCAGCGAATAATTCATGTTTGTCCGCATGTCAGTGTTCCATGGTTTCATCAGGAACGGGAGGCCATTCCAGCATGAGGTTGTTGTCAATTGCTGCTTGGTACTGCAGCCAAAGGAGCTTAGTAGTCGTCTATTGTTTGCTTACATCAGCAATGGCAGTTCTAAAGTGGTTTGTGCTGGCCTTGTCAGTGCAAACAGCTCGAGCTTCGCGTGCAGCTGTGGATTACGAAGCTGCAACAGAACGTGACAAGGATGACTATCATGCAGAAACACAGTCCTTTGCTGACGATTGCCGGGGTCTTGCAGAATCTGAGTGCAACGGCTGGGAAGGCTGCGTGTGGGAGAAGCGAGCCTGTCGCTCAACTTGCATGGACCACGGCAGGTCAACATGCCCGGGTGTAATATGCCGTTGGACGGCTGTAGCCAGCAAACATATATGCATCCCGCGCCAAGAATCGGAGACCTGTGCGGCCTACTACCCCCTGGGCAAAGAAAAATGTGTAGAACATGATTGCAGTTGGGATGATGCAAATCACACCGGCGGGGCCTACTTAGCGTGCTTGCCTTTCTGTGATCGCTACACTGCAGCGGAATGCCCAGAGCCAGATTGTGAGCAGTCGCTTGGAGCTTGCGTTGCCACTGTGCCCAAGCCCCTACCAGATGTGCAGGTCACAGAACTCCGTGATTGCAAGAAAGTGCACGAACCTGATTGCAACAGCGCAGGCAGCTGTGTTTGGGAGAAAGGAGCTTGTCGCTCAACTTGCAAGAATCATAGCTCATCAAATTGCCCAGGCGTGGAATGTCGCTGGGGGCTGAAACGCTGGTATGTCTTGTTCGACGGTGAATGCCTACTGCGCAAGCAGTCCGAGGCGTGCTGGCAGTATCATTCTGACCGACAAGAATGTCGAGAGAAGGATTGCGACTGGGTACAAAACGGCTACCCAGGAATGTCGTACAGCTACTGCCTCCCAAAGTGCCACCGATACAGCCAAAAGGCAGAGTGCCCAGAGACGGAATGTCAGTGGAAAGAAGAGATTTGTCATCCCAAGCACTTACCAGAGGACGTTTCATGTTCAGATCTCAACGTTAGACAGTGCGGTTATTTGCTTCCTGGCAAGTGTGACGTGCTCGAGCTTCCGAAGAGCCGCTTCAAACGTTTTTTCGGGATTAGAGGACACGAGGTCTGCGAAACCCATTCAATCATCAACTACTATCGCGAGTTCAAGAAGTTTGCTGTTCACAATGCAACACGCGCAGTTCCAGACCTGCTCCCGAGTTGCAGGCAACATGAGACTCAGGAAGATTGTCAAAATCAAGTTCTTTGCGAGTGGAGGGCCTTTCGTTGGGATGACCACAAGACGTCTGAGGCTCGTTGCACCGTGAAATGGGAAGCGGACGTTTTAGTACAGACCCGGGCTGTCAAAGAAGCCAGCAATCCAACCAGGCGCCTTGCGGGTGCTGCTGGCGCAGCAATAAGCCTTCCAGTTGCCGCGGTGATGGGGCTTGCTGGGGCAGCAGGGGTGGCTTTAATCTATGGCATTATGACTGTCGGATACACTCTGACCATGGGTGTAGCGTTTCCGCCTTCTCTCCTGTTTTTGCCCTTTGCAGCTATTGGTATGGCTTTGGGGATCCTGTTTTTTGGAGCGCTTGCTGGGTATGCAGTCGTCAAAGCCTGTGGCAGGCAGGTGTTCGAGTTGGCCAGCATGTCTTCCATGAAGTGGGCACAGGTGAAAGTGGCGTCAGGCAACTTTTGCCAGAAACTCTTCGAAGGAGTCAGTCCACTCCGTGAATCTTCTGTTCGGACCGTGTCGGACAGGCTGATAAAGGCAGACAGGCAGTGTGCAGCAAAGCTCTCCAACAATGGGACAAAGCTGCACTCAGTATCACGTACACGTGAAAGGCCTGGGTGGATGGCAGCCCAGGACAGCATCTGCAAGGACTTGTGCATCGACCTTGTGGATACCATCCATCACAACATGGCAAACATCATGGTTGCAGGTGGCACGAAGAATGTGCTCAAGGCCTGTGCCGCCATGGTGATCCAGCCCGTCGAGTCTCACATCTTGAGCTGTTGTGGCGAAGCATGTGGCTGGAATAAGCTGACAGGGTTCTGCGAGAACTGGTTTTTTATGTCTTCTGCAGACAAGTCTTTGTGGCTGGACGAGTGTTGCAGTGAGATTCAGATTGTGGAAGGCTCAGATCGCCAGATCATGTGTAACAGCGTGGCCACTTTGGCAGAAAGGAAGGAGTTAACAAAAGAAGACATCAAAGAGACAGATCTGGGGCTTCAGTTCAAGCTCGGCCACAGCCCTGAAAAGGATGACAAAAAAATTACAGGATGGCTAAGGAGCTTCGGCTCTAAGATGAAAAGTGCTTGGAGCACACTGTTTGGTTCAAAGGAAGGGCAGACTGCCTTCTTGCAGAACGTCACACCTTATCACGTCCCAGAAGAATCTGTGGCTTCAGGTCTCGAGCTAAAGGAGGAACAGAGCAACGACGGCCGCATCCCAGGCTTCGATGCCTTTGATGATGGTGATGATGATGACGAGGACGGCTCATCATGTGCACAGCGCTTGGAGTGCGGAGCGTTGACTGCGGCAGTCCAAAATGCCTGCAAAGTGACTTTCCCACTCTGAAGTAATCTTTGTTGTCTTTTTTGCTTTTGCTGTTTTGTGGCATGTTCCAGCAGGTGCTCATGTAGAGCATTTTTTCTGCGCGCAGCGGAGGTGAAAGACTCCTGGAGCCGGATGCAGCCTGCAACAAATCCTTTATGCGAGCGTGAGTCTAAGGAAGTGTCGGACGCAGACCACTGCTTCGAGTTCGGGAAGTCTGTGAAGGATGCCGTGGTGCTGACCTTCGCGATCGAGCAATTCTCAGAGGGCTCGGGGTACAGTCTCACATGCTACGCCCACACAGAGACCAACTTTGAGCCGTGTCATAGCTATCTGCCAACACCGACAGCCATCACCCACCACATGATGAGAGATCCAGTTGCCACGGACCTCAGGAGCTATTATTTTCTGCGCGACTTGACCAACAGACCTAAGTGACTTCGGCGCTTGTGGGCAAAAACTCTAGTGCCCGCCTCCTTGTTGTGATGCTTAGAATTGAGTCCTCACACATTCCCTGTTGGCTTCTGCAAGGACAAGTGTCTCATGCCGAGCATGTTGCTTGCTCCGCTTCTTTCATGAGCATCTTGCCCTGCACTGGCGTGCTGATGGACGTCATGCGCCCCTCAAGAGCCAGGGTAGCGGGTTAGCGTGGGCTAGCAGTCCTTCGTTGTCATGGCAAATCTTAGTTACGTGTTGTTGCTATGGAGTTTCCCTGCGCTGGGAGCTTGTGCGAGGACCAGCAGTGAAGCCATAGCAGTGGACTTGGCACCCGCCCTGGATTCAGGGGGAGAGTGCCGAACAACCAGATCGTGCGCAGAGCTGGCAGTGGCCGCAGCAGAGAACGAAGGCAATCGGAGCCAGCTGCAGCAGCAGTATGCCAGAAGCAGGAGAAATTCGAGATGGAATACGCTGGCTGACAAAGCGGCAAAGCTTTGTCCGGAACATCCGGATGTCTTGATCGGGTTGATCAAGAGCAATGTTTCAGAAGCATGGGGTTTTCCAATCGCTCGTGAAGCTATGGCAAATGGTTGTGAACAGTGCTTGAAGCAGATTCTGCCACGAATGAACCTCAGCGAGGCTGAGGCCGCTTGCGACAGGTGCTACGATCTGCAGGCCGGTTGGCGGGTGGGGAGCTGCAAGTGCGGCTTCACGCTGGCTCACTACGCAGCGCTTCAGGATCCGAAGTTCTTAACTTTGCTGCAGCAGGCAGGTGCCAACCTGAGCAGCACCGATGCGGAAGGCCTCGGAGTGACGCCTGCGCATTTGGCGGTCATCCGCATGAAGAATCATGCTGGGATGGAGTCCTTGATGAAGCTCAGTGAGCTCGGCGCCCGCCGGCGCCCCAGGTGATGGTTTAAGGTTTCGTGTTTGGGGTTCAGGGTTTGACCAAGTGATCGTGTCAACAGTCCCTTTTCGTGGTGTCAAAGTCTTCGTCGGTCAGCCTGGAGCCTGCCGGCAGACGTAGGAAGATGTAGGAAGCTACTGGCCCAGTTTAGGCTTTGCTTAGACACCTTCGGCAGCAGCCGGAAGTTATAGACACCGTCAGAGTCAGAATACTTGCTGGCCCAGAAGGGCTCCCACATCTCATGTCTTTGTGATTCATTGTTGTGCAACTGGCTGTGAGGATCTGGTAGGTAGACAAAAGTTCATATTCGCAATGGTGAGCAAAAAGAGCATCTTGCAAAGTGTATGCGGCACGCAAAGTACAGATCGGCAATCATGCCCGACACGGGGTTGTGCCATCGAAGTATGCAAGCCTGCTGAGGTCTGGATGTGCAGGACAAAGACGGCAATACGCCTGCACATGTCGCATGCCAAGAGCTTGAGGAGTCTGAAGATAACAACATCACCGCAGTGCTTTCTATAATTCGCAGTTCAGGTGGCAACTTGTCCTTGGCGGATAAATACGGACGCACTCCAGCACACGCATGTGCGGCTGGGAAGAACAACAGAGGAAGCCCAAAGGCAATCGAATTCTTGTATGAAGTGGATCCTCGGTCGTTCGAGATCAGAGACCACTCAAACCGAACCGTGCAGGATATTGCAGAAGCAGCTGGGTCCGTTGTGGAAGTATTCTTTGCAAAGCTGAGGGCAAACCAGTTGCAGCTTCAAGCAAGCAAGCTGGCCTTCGAAGCCATCAAAATGGCGCATGTTTGCAACAAACTGGATGAACAGGTCCAAGCAATGTTTGACTGTGCAGATCAAGTGATCCACATTCCAAAAGGCTATGCCATCACAAGCCAGAGGGCCATCTGTCCTGAGGATGCCGAAGAGTGTGCAGTGAAGTGCCCCAATCCCAAAGCATGCCCTGGTGGGCTCTACTCAAATCAGCACTGCGGCGAAGGATATCACATGGAGAGTGTGGGCTGCTCTCAGTGTGACATAGGCTTCGGCCGAAGCAATCAAGATCCCTTCGTGTGTGGCCGCTGCGCAGCTGCCTGGCAGATGCTGGGTTGCTGGTAATCAAGAGTTTCAACGAAGTTGCGATAAGAAGAAAACAGCGTTATTTGCTGCAAAATCACAGCCTAGTAACTTAGCTTCAAATCCTCAACAGCAGTTCAGGATGTGGATGGTGCACCTGGGCAAGCCGGTCGGGATCTACATTCTCAGCGTGCGGTCTGCCCGGCCTAATAGGGATCTTCAAGGTGTGCTCTTCAACATGTTGCTCTCCTTCGGCACCGTGGCAGCGTCGCTGTGGCCAGCCATCAAGGACTCGGAGGCCTACAGCCGTACGTTCCCCGCGATCCGAGTCCTTGTGAGCGCAGGCAGGGGCGCATTGCAGCTGATATCCTCCTCCTTACGTAGTGGGAGTCAGTCCTGCAAACTCTCACTGAGGTGATGCATCGATGTCTGCAACTACCCCGTGGCATGGTCCCAGCATGGACTGCTTGCTCAAAGCGTCGGAGGCCTCCATGTTGCAGTGGCTGTTGCTGACGGGCGTCGTGCCAATGATTTTGCTCTTTGCGTCGCTGACCTTCGTTTTCTTCAGATCCATGTGGGAAGGGCGCCAGCTGAACTGGCAGCTTCTGCCAGACTTCATCAAGCCCTGCCTTGTGCTGACGAATTGCTTTCTGCCAGACCTGTCAGGAGCCTTGGTGCGTTTTGTGCCTTGTATTCATTTCCAGATTTTTGCGGTGGGCGCAACCAGCTTTGCAAGCTATGCCGTGACGAGGGAATGCGCGGGGGTGGCTCAAAGGTACTTCACATGCGTTTGCACATTACTTCTGGCAGCAGCCATTGGGCCTGTGACTTGGATTGGCTTGATACGCAACGAGTCCTGGATGTGGCCACAGAAGACCCGCCAGCAGCTGCTGGGCTTCCTCACCTCCGGATACAGAGGTGACGAGATCTTCAACTTCTGCAAAACTAAGAGCTCATGCCCTAAAGTCATGAAACGCCGTCACCTCCAAAGCCCTCTAACCTCAAGACTTATAAGAAAATGAAGGCTGTCATGAAGCCCTACGGCTGAAGCCCTCAAGCCTCCCCCTGAGGTGAAGTAGAGTGGTGGCAGGTGGGAGTCCTTGCGCGCAAGTGCCTGCTGGTGATGGCGGCATCTCTCTTCCCCATGACTTTTGACTGGGCTTGGACTGCTTTGAGGGTTTTGGGTTCAAGGGTTTGGGGTGTTTGGGGTTGAGGGTTTTGTGTTGAAGGGTTAAGTTTTGGGGTGAAAGGCTCAATGTTTTGGGTTTGGGGTGTGGGGTTGAAGGGTTAGAGCTTGAAGCATGTCTGCAGTCTGCTGAGGAGCTACTCCCCTATGCTTTTCTTGACGTGCGTGCTCGTTATCATGGGGACAAGCCTTACTTGCCACACCTTGATGTGGCCCTATGACAGTCCTTTCCTGAATACCTTGGAATTCGGAACTCTGGTGTCATCCACGGCGGCAGTCCTGGCAACAATGCTTCTTTCACTTGAGCCAACTACTTGGTGCCTAGACTGCAGTATCACGTGTCCTGTTCTCCTGTTGCTCGTCATCCTTCTTGTGGTTCCCTTCGCAGTGCTCATGGTGTTGTTCCTTCGCGAAGCATTGAGGAAGGTGCAGAATTTGAACCTAGACGAGGGCAATGCAGACGCCCAGTAGATGTTTGGCAAAGTGGTTTTGCATGTGGCTTATAACTGCCGCGGACAGCCAATGCGCTGGGAAGTTGGTACGCAGTTGCTTTCCTGGAAATGGAGTTGTCTTTTGCAAGCATCCGGTGCAGCCTCGCGCGCGATGCATGCGCATGCGACACCCCAAGCCCAGCCTTCTAAACAGTTTTGTTAAGGTTTGGCGTGCGAGGGGCCGCTCGAGGCTGGAGGCTAGCGGGTCATAGCCAGGGCACTTTGATCTTATTGGTTCTTAGTAGGGAATAAGGGAATCTATTGTGCAGGAATTATAGAGAGATCTCTCCAGTATTCCCTACGAAGAACCAGTAAGTTTCAGGGTTAGGGTCTGGGCTGTAGGCTGTAGGGATCTCCCCCCCAGTCATGGAGAATCAATGGACAGGAACATGGACGCCGGGATTCTACAGGGGATTGAGCATGATGCGATGATTCATGGACCCAGCGGGGCATTCTGTCGACTGCTGGCTAAAAATCTAGCAGCCCTACAGCGAGGGTGAGAAAAAACAAACATTCAAAATAAGTAGGGGATAAGCCTCCCTTTACATCTTGTCAGCCGCTCGTTGGCTGCATTGGGACCTGCAAGGTGCTTACGAGGACTCACTCAAAGTGAAGGCTCGAGAGGGCTTTGAGGAATTCGGCCAGGCCGGAGAGGGGGTTGACGTTACGGGGGGGGGGGGGGGCTTTGGGGAGGGCTGGAGGCGGGGCCGTCCAAAAAGTACCCTTAGATAAAGGGTTAAAGCTGGTTGGGGAGGGGATTTTACGCTTCCCAAACACCTACGGCCCAATGGTGGTGCAAAAACAAAGCTTGGGGGCTTGGCAAGGGAACCAAAGTATTAAGAGACACTATTCTCTTGGGCACTCGTATTGCATCGGCAGGTATTAGTTTACTACGCAGAGTGTGTCATTTTCATTTGTTCGGACCTTCCTTTTCTTCAATGCAATTGTAGATTTTCATGCATTTTCTTCTTGATCCGTTTGTGGTGGCTCCATGTTGTCTGCAGCGTGAACGTAGTGTGAAGAGCGTGTATCTTCACCGTTAGCTTCCCCTGTCGTGAATAAGTGTACGTTGAAACCATAAGTAGTGTCATATCGCAAGTTTACTTAGTTTAGGCATCTGGTCTACCGTGTGCCCCTCCAGTGAGAAGACAAAACAGCCGTTCTTTTTCGGCGAGGGGAAAGAGTGGTACATCCGCAGGCATATCTTATTCTGAAGTGCGTTTTTTTTCGTTTAAGTGTTTTGTTTTAAGCCCTCTGTCCCCTCCAAGGATACGACTAACAAATGGAGCATCTTACATCCGCGGACATTCGCAGACGTATCTTATTCTGAGGAGCATCTTTTCTTAATCAGGTTCTGCGACCCATAGGCAACAGAAAACTTGTTCCATGTCGCGAAGAAGTAAGTGTTTCATCGCAAGTTTTAATTTAGCGTGGGTGCTTCATCTTAAACTACGTGCCCTTCCAACGACAAATGTGCTTTTCTTGGCGGGGGTGGGGGTAAATGAGTAGCACATCCGCAGACGTATCTGAATCTACGTGTCTTGTCTTAAGCTGTGTGTCCCCTCCAACGACAAGACAAGTGAAGCATGTTGAGGGCGGGCATGAGTATTAAACCTTCGCAGACGTATCTTAATCTGAAGCGCGCTTTATCTTCGTCTGATTCTACGCGCCGCTACCTCAACCAGCGTCTCCACACCAGAAACGGATAGAAGGGAGAACCCTGCAGCGTCCAAGGAGTGAAGGTTACCTAGTGTGGCAGGGCAGACAAAAAGGACACCCGACTCACCTTTGTGACCACCACAGATCACCAGGAAGGGAAGCCAAGAGACAGGGCGCAGGCTTGGACACCACGGCCACTCGCACATCACTCTTCCAAAGCTTCAAGATTGATGATGCCATGGGTTGACATGAAGCAGGGTTTATATTGCTGTTTTTGGTGAGTGTATATAGGTTCCTTTTTAATGTTGGTGAGTGTATACACCGGGTGTCTTTTTGGGGGTACAAGAAATACATACCCTACTTCACATCACCATTCGGCAAGAAGACATGCTGGGTCTTTGGACAAAACACTCAGGCAGGCGAGGCAGGATCTCAGCTATGCAAGCATCCAGGTCATGCCTACCATCCCCTAAACCCGAAACCCCAAACCCTAAACCCTAAACCCTAAACCCCTGTATCGACAGGCTCTCCTTGTCCTTGGCCACCAGCAACGAAACGCCAATCCGCCAAGGCTTGACTGCCATGTTGGACTATACAGGTCATTCTTTCCAGTGGCTCAAGACACAAGCCAATGGCAGCTCCTCCTCAATAAGCCTCGTAGGCCAAGATGATTACCATGGATAATTCCCAGTGAGACAGTTTTTGGCTTAGTACGCTTTTTGCTTGCCTTGTACTGCTTTGAAGGGTGTCGGTGCTGACGGCTGCTACGATCGCAGCTTTCGCGTTGAAAAACACGCTGTGGTACCAACATGCTGGGCATCAGGAATCTATTGAACCAAAGCAACTTGCTTTCGCTGTGGAGTTTTGAAGGCGCGGTGTTTTGGATTTTCCTGATTGACCAGATTTCATGAACTCATGGTTGTTGTATTTGGTTGTTCCCTTTGAGGCTGATGGCATGGCTAGGCGTCTTTATGGGTTCAACCGTTTCTCACGAACTGAGAGATGAGTGGGCGCGCCGGCGAACGCCAGATAGGGTGGCCAATCTCACAGAGCAGAGGACCTAGTATTGGGGGTGTGTGGGAGTGTGGGCTTGATCGAGTTAACCCAAAACTCGACAAGCCGAGGAGGGGTGTAGCAGCGCCCTGAAACGTGTGTAGCAGCCGTTTGCCGCAGCCCTCGAAATTGCACGAAAAGTCGCTTCCAAAATGATGCTGCCGTGGCAAGGCAAACAAAATCTCCACAAATTCTTGTTTTAAAGGTCTTTCTTGTGCTGAAGGTTGTTTTTTGGCAAATGGCTGCGCGGGTTGCAGTGAGCTGGTCGTTTCAGCTGTGCCTCGACCTGTCATCTTGGGCTCCGTAGTAGCCAAGAGGACGTAGGTTTGCCAAACTGGCGTGTTTTCGTTTTCCATGCTTAGCATGTCGCCTTCGCACACTGGGGGCTCCTCCTAATCCGGGAGTCCCTGAGCATGGCTACACATCATCTGTTGCTTGCAGCGCTCTTTTGCCGACTTCTGGAGGGGAAGCGCCCGAGCCTCGATGGGAAGTGTGCAGGGCACTTGTTTTTGCCAGTTTCTTGATGCATGTCATTCCGGTCTCAGGCTTGGCGCGGCACACGTTGGACATCGTCACCAACGAGACCGGTGGTGTTTCGTCACTGCAGCGCACGGGGCCCAACTTGGCAGGGTCTGCGATGTGGCGTTAGGGTGCCGGTGTTGTTGATGCGAAGGTGTCTCTGAGCGACATGGCACCTTCCATGCGGAAGTGGAGGAGCGATTTGAGGTAACTGCAGGTGGCATTGTGTGCCTGACACGAGGCACCAGAATCCGCCTTGTAGTTGCGATGCTGATACTGCAAACTCGCTCCGATGCATTTGCAAAGGAGGCGCAGGCACAGGCGGAGACCCAGGCTCGGGGGGGGGGGGGGGGGGGCGGGTGTCGGTTTTGAAGAACGCTGAACCCTAACACCTGAGACTCCAAATCCCAAGTGGAGACAAGTGGGGGTTTACGATATTGAGGGACCCCTAATATAGACTTCCAAATACTAGGACCCTAAACCCTAAACCCTAAACCCTAAACCCTAAACCCTAAACCCTAAACCCTAAACCCTAAACCCTAAACCCTAAACCCTAAACCCTAAACCCTAAGCCCGAAACCCTAAACCTTAAACCCTAAGCCCTAAACCTAAACCTTAAACCCTAAACCCGAAAGCCGAAAGCCCAAGCCCTAAGCCCTAAGCCCTAAGCCCTAAGCCCTAAGCCCTAAGCCCTCAGCCCTAAGCCCCAAGCCCTAAGCCCCAAGCCCTAAACCCTAAGCCCTAAACCCTCCCTAGCCCTAAACCCTAAACCCTAAACCCTAAACCCTAAACCCTAAACCCTAAACCCTAAACCCTAAACCCTAAACCCTAAACCCTAAACCCTAAACCCTAAACCCTAAACCCTAAACCCTAAACCCTAAAAACCCTAAAAACCCTAAACCCTAAACCCTAAACCCTAAACCCTTTATAAACCTCAAGCCTTTCAGCAACATGGCAAAGCCCCCCCCCATTTCAGCAGGCCGGCCTGCCAAGCTGCGCAGGCGGATCGATGGAGCTCACCGGAAGGTATGAGGTGCCTCGAGGGCAAAGCTGGGCCCAGAAAAGGGAGATTTTGGCCTAGGGTTTAGGGTTTAGGGTTTAGGGTTTAGGGTTTAGGGTTTAGGGTTTAGGGTTTAGGGTAGGGTTTCGGGTAGGGTTTAGGCTTTTGGGGGTTTAAGGTTTCTGTGTAGTAGCAGGGTTGAGGGTCGAGGCCTTCGGAAATTTGCAGGGGCATGGTGGGGGGGGTTTAGGGAGGTTTAGGGGTTTTAGGAGCTTCAGGGGCTTGCTTGCTTGGTGTGATACGAGCAGGTCAGAATAGCGGAGCTGGTGTCAACAATGCCCCAAGTGAGGGATCCTGAGTGGGTATCCTGTAGCTGCATTAGCCAATTTTTGTGCAGTATCGACTCCTAGCCCAAAGGCGATCAACCTTCCCTAGAAAACTCGGCCAGTGATCTCTGCAGGCGGGTGTGCTGAACGATAGCTGCGAAATGCACCCTCAAATCTCCAAAACTGTAAAGAAGCTTAGCTCCACGCCTTGGCACCTCTTTCGAAAGGGCTTGCCGGGTCGGTCGTTGGGGAATGGGGGTGGTTCCGCTGCCGCAGGTGAGGGAGGAGGTCACTATCCAAGGCCCGTGCCGGGTGACGGGGAGCCGGGTCCCCAATGGAACACGTGTTTAGGAGGCTGAGGGCTTCGGGGGCCTAGAACCCGAAGACCCCCAAAAACCCCGTAAAGCCCCTAAAACCCCTAAA